TATAGTGTACTTTGCTTAAGAGCCTTTGGTGAGGGACCTTGTCAAAGGCTTTCTGAAAATCTAAGTAAGTTGCCATGGGATAAGAGGGAAGGTGCTCTCATGGATTGGTAACTGGTTAAAAGATAGGAAACAAAGGGTAGGTATAAATGATCAGTTTTCAGAATTGAGAGAGGTAAATAGTGGTGTCCCCCAGGGGTCTTTTCTGGGACCAGTCCTATTCAACATTTTCATAAATGATCTGGAAAAAGAAGTAAACAGTGAGGTGGCAAAATTTGCAGATGATACAAAATTACTCAAGATAGTTAAGACCAGGCAGATTGCAAAGAGCAACAAAAGGATCTCTCAAAACTAGGTGACTGGGCAACAAAATGGCAGATGAAATTTAATGTTGATAAATGCAAAGTAATGCACATTGGAAAGCATAATTGCAACTATACATATAAAATAATTAGCTGTTACCGCTCAAGAAAGAGATCTCAGAGTCATTGTGGATAGTTCTCTGAAAACATCCACTAAATGTGTAGCGGCAGTCAAAAAAGCGAACAGAATACTGGGAATAATCGAGAAAGGGATTGATAATAGGACAGAAAATATCATATTGCCTCTATATAAATCCATGGTACACCTACATCTTGAATACTGTGTGCAGATGTGGTCGCCCCATCTCAAAAAAGATACATTGGAATTGGAAAAGGTTCAGAAAAGGGCAACAAAAATGATTAGTGGTATGGAATGGCTTCCGTATGAGGAGAGATTAATAAGACTGGGACTTTTCAGCTTGGAAAAGAGGCGACTAAGGGAGGATATGATAGAGGTCTATAAAATCATGAGTGGTGTAGAGAAAGTAGATAGAAGTATTGTTTACTCCTTCTCATAACACAAGAACTAGGCGTCACCAAATGAAATTAGTAGGCAGCAGGTTTAAAACAAATAAAAGGAAGTATTTCTTCACGTAACACACAGTCAACCTGTGGATCTCCTTGCCAGAGGATGTTGTGAAGGCCAAGACCATATCAGGGTTCAAAAAAGAACTAGATAAATTCATGGAGGATAGGTCCATCAATGGCTATTAGCCAGGATGGGCAGGGATGTGTTTGCCAGAAGCTGGGAATGGGTGATAGGGGATGGATCACCTGATGATTCCCTGTTCCGCGCATTCCCTCTGGGGCACCTGGCACTGGCCACTGTCGGAAGATACTGGGCTAGATGGACCTTTGGTCGGACCCCGTAGGGCCGTTCTTATGACACAAAATTACAATTATTTTTATTGTTTGTTGTTATCTCGTTATCTCCAGACTGATTCTTGCCTGCATATTTATACCTGCCTCTGGAAATTTCCTTTACATGCGTCTGACGAACTGGGTATTCACCCACGAAAGCTTATGCTCCAATACATCTGTTAGTCTTAAAGGTGCCACAGGACTCTCTGTCAGTGGCGTAGCCAGGGTTGCAGCCGAGGAGGAGTGGTGGAGAAAAAAGGCGCCGGTCCTTCGGTGGCATTTCTGCGGCCCTGCACATGCGCCGAAATGCCGCCGAAAGATGGAGCGGTGCATGTGCAGGGCCGCCCCGCTTCTCTATCCGGAGTGCTGTCTGGGGCACCGAGACCCCCAGCCACGCTCTCAGGGCCGGAGTCCCGCCGGGAGCCTGCGGCCCCGCTGTGCCGGCTGGAGTGCCAGGAGCCCGCGGCCCCGTTCCGCCGGCCATCCAGAGCGCGAGGAGCCAGCAGGCCAGCCCGCGGCCCCATTTGCGGCCGCCCGGAGCAGCGGGAGCCAGTCCGCAGCCCCGTTCCGCCGGCCGCTCGGAGCACCAGGAGGCGGGAGCCAGCAGGCCAGCCCGCGAAAAAAAGAAAAGAAAAACCCGGAAGCAGCCGAGGAGGTGGGGGGTGTGCGCAGGTGGGCGGGGGATCAATGCACCGCTGCTGTTGCTACTCACTTCATCAACAACAAAAGAAGTCTCCTCCCCTGACTGGAACTTGTCCATCTTTCCTCCGGCTCGGACCGCAGCCGCTCAAGCTGCCAGCCTGTAGTGATCCGAGCCGGAGGAAAGATGGACATGTTCCAGTTGGGGGAGGAGACTTCTTTTGTTGTTGATGAAGTGAGTAGCAAGAGGGAGGAGACAGCGGAAGGACCTGGAAGCAGTGCTGAGTGAGGCCTGGAAGCAGAAGGACCCAGAAGTGGCGCCGAGTAAGTATGAAAATTAAAAAGGCGCCACTTTTGGGGAATGTGGTCAGGGGAAGCGGCCGCTTCACCTGAACGCCCCTAGCTACGCTACTGCTCTCTGTTGCTTTTTACAATTATTTTGTTTCAAATGGACACTAGATAATAGCATCACAAATATCTTGAGCCATGTGTGCTTCAATTTTCTAGAGATATCAACATGCTCAGTGATTTCATTATGACTTAACTAAGCCTTTTATGTAAAACTGAAGATGATGCTGATTTTAACACGTGGGTGTGGTTAGATTTACAGATTGCATTTTTAACCTATTCTGTGATCCATTTAGTAATTCTGTGGCTGCTTCTTTTTTCTTCTGTCACTTCGGCCACATTCATGCTCTTTTACTGTACCAATGTGGTGGAAGAAAGACTGTGTCATATTGGCTCCATTTGTAGTTGTTTCTCTGCATAAAGTTACACATCTCCAAGCTACAGCATAATTCTTATTATCCGGTCAGGATAGACCTAGTGGCAGGTCAGGTTAAAAGTGTGCTATCATAACTGCATGGGTAAGTCTGTGCTTTCTTTGTCGTAATCCTTTGCATCAGTTTTGTGGAATGCAGCTTGTTATCTATGCAAAATGTAACTAATGTTTATAAAGTGCTTAGAGATCCCGAGATGAAAGATGCTGTAGAAGTGCAAGTATAGGTGTGTTGAATTAAAGATTAAATTGTGTGGGTAAATATGCATACAAGTGCATATTTATATTTGTAAAAAATATGTTTTTAAGTGATTAGAACCTTAAATATTTTATAGTGAAATGTCTTCTGAATTATTGATTCCTTTAATTGCAGATATTCATCATTTCGGAGGATTTCAGCACAGAGATTATTGGACTTTGCCATATCTGACCAGGATGAATTCATCATTGGTTGCTTATGATGATTCAGATTCTGACACAGAGACTGGAAAGGCTGAAAATCTCAGTCTTTCTAGCAGAGAAACCAGACTTGCAAGTTCTGCTATAAATCCTATTCAGTATTTTGCACCCGGTGCATTAGGCACAAAATCTACATACAAAATGCAGACTGTTGAGAATACTGCCAGTACTGGCGCAAGCATTATTTGTGAAGGTGCTCCTGCATATAAGGTACAGGCTAATAACCGGGATTTGGCAGCTGTTTATCCCTGGAAAGAATATTCTAACCAGGCTGAAACGCTTTCTGGAAATGGAAGTTTCTCTCAGAAGAGAGTACATCAGGACAAGATTGTTACCATAAAGGGAATTAGACCATATATCCCTAAAAGACTTCGACAAGAAAAAACTTCTAAAGTGTATGGAAAAAAAGAATCCGAAGAACAGAGAGAGAGTTGTGCAATACCAGGAGAGCAAATTTCCACAGAGGTTTCTGAATTTATTAAGCCATATTTAGGGTCTAAGAACAAATCAACTGAAATCCCAAGGAACTTGGTGTTTCAAATGTCTAAACACAGTGGTCCAGTTAATAAAGTCCAGTGGTGTCCTGTACAAGGATGGAGCCATATGCTTCTTTCCACTTCCATGGATAAAACTTTCAAGGTAATGTACTTACATGGTGGAATGGTTTGTATTACGTATCACTCACTTTAAATAGTAAAACAGATGGGAATGGTTATTACTTTCTGAAAGCTTCACTCAGCCTTTTTAGTCTGCCTGTATTTGATAATTGATCCCATGTGTGTAGTACCTATTAATACCTTGATCAGATCCTTTGCAGGACGAGAGCCTCTTGTAGGCCCCTTCTCAGCACATAGTCCCATTTTTCCAGTGGGTAATTAAGGATTGCAGGTAGGCTTACCATATGTCCGTTTTTTCCCAGACATGTCCGGCTTTTTGATAATCAAACCCCCATCCGGGGGGAATTTCCAAAAAGCCGAACATGTCTGGGAAAAATACTCCCTGGCTTATCTGCTGTGCTCCCTGACTCCTGGGCTCTGTAAGAGCCGAGCGCTACCGGCTTCGGGCAGCCCCCATGCCTCCAGACCCTGAGCCGCTGGCCGGGCACTTCCCCTCCTGGGCTCTGGGGGCACAGGG